TCATGAAATTTAATTTTATTTTTAAAGCACATTTAATTTACAACAACTCTTAAACTAACATAACTGCCCTAGGTGAAGATATATATATATATATATATATATATATATATATATATATATATATATATATATATATATATATATATATATATATATATATATATATATATATATATATGAGAGAGAGAGAGTGAGAATCAAACTGGTCATAAATGATGCAAAAACAAATTCCAAAATCATTATTGTACATTTTCTTTAATGCTCAAAATGCTCATTCTGTCATTCCCATGATAACTCTATTGTAACATCACTATATTTTTAGGGAGGGGGGGTTCAATTTTTTTTATGATTTAAGGGAAAAAAAATTGGTTCTAGGGGGTTTGATTTTGAAAAACATCATATTGTAGTATGAAATTTTAACATTTCGTGGGAGGCTTAAATTCGTGGTTGTCTTCATAACACAAAACAAAAAAATTAACTTCCCACAAAAATTTGTCAATTCACAGAATACAATTTTTTAATAATAATGTAAAACTATCTGAAGAAATTTTGGAAAAAATATCAAACTTGATACAGAAGCAGTTTGCTGGTAGCAAGCGGTTTAAGTAAAGATTTTAATGTAACTCCCAAAGGACATAAGTTTACATATCAGGAAGATATAAATAATAAAATAATTATGCAATAGGTCAGAAGTAGAAAATAAAGCAAAATTAATTTATTGGCGGACTTTCTAAACTGTTTAAAAATACACATGCTAAACAGACCATTGCGATGGCATACTAATGATTAACATTTTTTATTTCTGAAGTCAACAGGAAGAAATACAATTATTTTGACAAATATTCGTTGATATTACTATCATAATTATAATTCATGGGAAAAAGAAAGCAAAAACTGACCTACAAATATAACCTACTTAATTCATTAATTAAGCTATGAAAGTTATATTAAACTTTGTTAATTTTCTCTTTCATTGATTTACATGAAATATTTATCGCTATATTACCTTAGAAAACATACAAGTACAATTAAGTAGATAATTAAACCTGAACTGTAAAGAATATTATCCAAAAAAGAAAACTAGTAGAATACTCAATGATCTATCGTTATTAAATAAAACTTCTGGAAATTCACAATAAAATTGATAAAAAGAAGCTATGTCTGGTGCCCAATCCCCTTTTGTAAATACATATTGTTAAAATTAAAGAATCCAAGCTATATGAAAAAAATTAAATGTTCTTTTTTAACATTCCATTGTAATTTATAGAGGTAAATCTTGATACGGATAATAATGATAGTTTTTAAATATATCGCTGTAAAACACACTCTTTCACTCAAACTCGAACTACAGTGTAAAGAGATATTTGACCAATTAGTTTAAAAAAAACTAAACAAACGAAAGATTTCAACAACTTATGTTATTGTGACATAAAACAAATATTTAATGGTAAACTAATTTAATGAAAACGATACTGTAAAAAATGAAACAAAGATTCAAACACAAACGCACTATTTCATCACAATATCTCCCAAGTATTAAATGAAAGCAAAAAGTCAAGAGTCTTGATATTCAATCCATAACTTTCAAAATGCTATTTCCCGTGTTCTTCCATTTATAATAAATCATCTCACTATATTTGTAATTGTTTCATTATCTTGTGAATGAACATATAGATAATAATCAGAAATCTTGTGATAAATTTGGCGCTAGTGATTCAAAGGGACATGGAAGATCATTTGAAACTTATAACTTTCAAAATTTACGGTAGAATTTCGTGGCTAACACATTGCAGGAGTGTTTCAGATCGATGAAATATATGGAGATAACGAACAGCACCCAAGCCCAAAAGTCCACTAAACAATACAAAATAGGAGCAGAGCAAACCCGGACCTCCAAACATCAGAGGTGGGATCAGGTGCCATGGAAGGAGTGAGCATCCCCTGCCGACCGGTCACACCCGCCGTGTGCTCCTTGTCCTGATATATTATGAAAGTTATCAAAACTAGATATTTCGTTCTTGTAACCCGTGTCTGACCATATTACATCCTTGCACTTTCATGAAATAAAATTTTTCTTAATTTTCAAAGTAAATGGGAAACATAAGGTGTATTGATAAAAGAAGAAAAAGCAGTTATTAAGGCAATGTAAAAGAGCAAAAACCAACACATCCGTGCTGTCAGTTTGTGGTCAGTGATGGTGGGAATGTCAGAAAATTGAACACACCCGGTAGCACGTAACATATAACAGAACTAGTGCCAATGTTATCAATCACAGGTGTTTGGTTAAGGTTATAAAGGAATCCAGTTGTCATGAGTGTGACAAATTTTTAAGAAGGTTAAAATCAGCAAATTGAAACTATTTGTCAAATAAAAATAAAAACTCATAATTGTAAACAAAAAACAACGAGAATGTCTATGTCCCTTTAAAACGTTTCACACTAGTTTGATTTAGTGTTAGAAAACTGGACTCTACATGTATATTCGAAAAAAAATCAAAAAATAGTCCATATTAAAATCTCTTATATTGATTTTTTTTATTGTAACAACTTGTTAGCACTTACTGAAATATACATGTATCTTGATTTTGAGGAAAATTACAGATTTAAATAATGTAGCGGTCATTGAAAGTTCTATGTGATATCAAGAAAGTCTTGAAGGAAACTCATAAAATAAATTTTATGATTTTCGATTTCTTCGTGAGAAATAATCGATTTTAACTTACAAATACTAAATGTGAAACGAAAAGTTTTTGAATGTATTGAAACTGTATATTATTCACTTGACGTGGGAGAAGAAAAACCATTACCTTCAATTTATTTGGGTCATAATTTGTTTTTTTGTTTTTTTATTCAATTATGTTTGTAATTTCCTTACGGTAATTCTAGTCTATCCAGTGGCACCTGTTGTTGACGCAAATTTAATGAACAAATCAGTTAATTATTAGAATTTAACAAATAGAATTTCCAGGGCGAAAAAAAAATTTAAAATTCTAGTCACAGATTCTGCTTCAAAAAACCATAGATAATGCACCGCCTCTTTGAACAGGAATAATTCGGATGGTAATTAATTAACAGATCATCAATTGTCTTCAGAAGCTACCTGTCAATCACATTATATAGACTGGTCTATATAAGTCTGTGATTCAGGCTCACACTCCAAACTTCAACCACGGAAGACAAGGATGATGGGACCCCTGGTTTTCCTCAGCCTGGCTGTACTGGTCAGTAGCTTGTTCTTTAAGCCTAAATAAACTTCTTTTATTAAATATTGTTATAACATTGTATTTAAATACTTTTTATTGAAAGTAGTTTCTGGAAAGTATACTGAGGAACTTTTATGTGTATTATTTCTTTGGAAATATCTTTTCTATACAGAAAGCTTGATTTTGGAATTTTATCAGGAAAGAAAATGATATATAAAAAATTTAACTTTTTAGCGTAACATTCGAGAATGAGCAAATTTAAAATCATTTTTTGAAAGAAAAAAAACCCCACAATGTTTAAAGCATTAAAAGACCAGTTTCTTTATACCTTTTATCAAATTCTTGTAGTAAGCAGTTGCAATTTATTATATTACCTACATTTCACAGTAGAGTTTGCGGTGTCGATCGAACTTGTCTGAAATTAAGGAGGGTTCACGTGATTCTCAACTATTTTTTGCACTTACTTAAATTATTTCTGGATGCTGTTGAGAATAAAATTTTTATTGATAAATAATAGCAGTCTTAAAATGTTTTTTTTTTCCAGAGTAGTACCTCAGGAGTACCACACGTTCCACAACATGGGCCTGGTATTACACCAGGAGTACCACAACATGTTCCCGGTATAGCACCAGGAGTACCACAGCATGTGCCCGGTCAGACAGTGGCTCCGGGAGCAGGAGTGAACCCTTACCTCAGTTACTATCGCATGATGTGGTATTACTGGATCATGCAAAACAGACGACAGATGATGATGAACAATGCTCGACATCAACTGATAAACCCCCTGATGAATGCTAGAAACAACTTGGGACTTAATGGCATAGGTCCCAACGGAGGATTGGATCATGTTGGTTACGAAATATACCACAAAAAGAAGGACGACGGCAAGTACAAACCAGGGAAACATAATGATAAATATCACGACAAATATCATAAAGATGAGTATAAAAAAGATAAATATCCTAATGGTCATAAGAAAGACATCTATCCAACAGATCCTCACAATGACAAATATGGAGATGGCCATCCACATAGACACCATGATAGATATCCAAGTGACATGTATCCGAAAGAACATCGTAAAGATAAGTATCCAGATGAATATCATAAAGACGTTTATCCGACAGGTCCTCACCATGACAAATATCCGAAAAACCATCACGATAAATATCCCAGTGACGTATATCCTAAAGGACATCATAACGATAAGTATCCTGATGAATATCATAAAGACATTTATCCGACAGATCCTCACCATGACAAATATCCGCACAGCCATCACGATAAATATCCCAGTGATGTATATCCAAAAGGACATCACAACGATAAGTATCCTGATGGATATCATAAAGACATTTATCCGACAGATCCTCACCATGACAAATATCCGCACAGCCATCACGATAAATATCCCAGTGATGTATATCCAAAAGGACATCATAACGATAAGTATCCTGATGGACATAATAAAGATGTTTATCCAGCAGGTCCTCACCATGACAAATATACGCACAACTATCACGATAAATATCCCAGTGACATATATCCTAAAGGACATCATAACGATAAATACCCCAAAGGATATCCAACAGATCCTCATAACGACAAATATAGAGACAGATATCCACTTGAACACTATGATAAATATCCCACTGATATTTATCCAAATGGGCCTCATAACGATAAATATCCTGACAAATATCCTAAAGACGTGTATCCAGTGGATCCTCATAAATATGGACATAATCACTATGATTATCCCAGTGACTTATATCCTAAAGGTCATAAATACGATCATAAATACAAGAATCACATTGATTACAAAACAGACTATGACGGATATAAAAAAGGACATAGGGATCATATATTTGAACTTGGATTGCCTTCAGCTGGTGAGCGAAGAGGAAGAGGGCGACTAGATTCCAGGACAATGAGAGCGGGTGATCTGGGTCTGCGATCAAGTCCTTCTAGCAGAACTTTTTCTTCAGATGTCATTTATGATCCAATGGAACCAAGAGGATTTCGTTCACAGGATGCAGGAGGTCTGATTGACCTAGGACCCTTTTCTGGACGATTAAGGAGACCAAATTATGATATCGGTCATCATAATTCTAAAGATTACAAAGAATACAAGGATGGCGTGCATATTCCGGGAAAGCATAAAGGTGGATATCATATTGATGAATATGACAGTATGAATTATAAGAAGAAAGACTACGGTGAAAATAAATACAAAACGAAGCCTAAAGACCTTTATAAGACCAAGAAACCAACTGATCATAACAAATACAAAACCAAAAAGAAGACCTACTAAACGGGTGAAGGGCACAAAAATAGACAAGGTAAAACAATTTTTTAAGGATTTCTTTTTAATATATGTTTCATTTGCTTAATATCACATGCAAAATGATATTTTACAGCATTGATTTGAGTTACTAAAAATGACATCGAGAAAAATTCAGAGATGAATTAAAATGGTGAATGTTCTTTAAAACTTGCAAATTCTTATATTATTATCTATTGTTAGAAAGAAAATAATATAACAATTTGCAGCCCTTTGATTCGGTCAATCCATAGATATATTGACATCACAGAAAAACATATGGACATCGCATTTCGTGCTCAGTCGAATTCTCTTTCTCTCTCTCTCTCTGTATATATATATATATATATATATATATATATATATATATATATATATATATATATATATATATATATATATATATATATATATATATATATATATATATATACAATGATTGCTTTTAATTGTCGTACCTGTATCTTTCTTTCTTTTTCATTTAGGAAAGACCAGCCAGTCAAACTCCAGGGAGTTTTACACTTTCTGTCTTTACTTGAGTTCTCAATAAAATGTTTTCATATACCGATATTATCTGTCTTCGATATAGTAAAATGTGAAGAATTTAGTATATACAAACTACGATATTTTACCCACGATATTTCACCAAATTTGTCAGAAAGACGTTTTACTGTACAAAATTAAATACTGCACAATAACATATTGGTGTCGTTATACTGAAATTAACATTCTGACATTTAGAATATACTTGCTTTGAAATATTCCCATTTGGTGACTCTCACATTCATTTAACAAAGATTCTTGATATTTCATATTAGTGACAAATAAAAAAAACATTAATACATTACTTTGCAGATGTTTTAATAAATGTTTAAGAGCTGGTACATGGTTAATACATATACGTTATATACATGTACATGGAGTGGCGCCAATTACATTGAAGATAACTAATTATTTTACAATTACTCTATCTTTTTCTTCATTTAAATTATATATATATATATATATATATATATATATATATATATATATATATATATATATATATATATATATATATATATATATATATATATATATACACACAAGAAATAAGCCTAACTTTGGCAGTGGTATCGTTGTGGTGGTTTTATAACCTACTTCTTATAAAAGTTCAAGGAATTACCTGAGATCTATTTGATAGCTTTAAATTAAAATGTGTTTCCTTCTACATAGAACCTTTGCCCGCATTAAGGAATTTGACTGGTATCTAGAGACTAAAAAACCCTCGAATTTTTTTTTTATTTGAGGACTAGCTTAAAACCGCACTTGAAAATTTTGAATATTTTCACATCATGAATGATACTTGTATGTAACTATTTAAAATACTAAATGCATTCCTACAAAATGTTTTTGGGTGTTAAATTAAATTTTTTACACAAATTTCTTTTTTCAAGAATTAAAAACCCTCCAATTTTTTTTAATTTGAGGACTAGCTTAAAACCGCACTTGAAAATTTTGAATATTTTCACATCATGAATGATACTTGTACGTAACTATTTAAGATACTAAATGCATTCCTACAAAATGTTTTTTTACACAAATTTCTTTTTTCAAGATTGGAGGATTCTTGATTGAATTAATAGCCGTATAAACCATATCTTTGAAGTTTTACAAAACATTGTATGAATATTAGGGGATTGTTTTGTTTTGATAACACTTTAAAGCTCTGATTGGAGGAATATATATCTCAGCAGTAAGGGAGGTCTGAATGACACACATTATTTCCTACTCTTTAATATCAATAATCAAGCAACAAAAATTAAAATGCTTCATAGCTTCAAAGAAGGGTAAAAAAACAAACATAAACATTAATTTCAATAAAATTCTAAATGCACATTATGTTTCTAAAAAATCTATCATTACAATCGAGCCAAAATATGAAAACCATTTAATGACATGAAAACATTAACTTTATAAAATTTGTATAACTGAAAAGGACTGGCGATGTTTTTATGATTAAAAAGAAAAACACCAGAAAATGTGAATCTGATTGAGATATCTTCCTATCATATCAAACATGTACATATGAAATACGTTGAGTGATTGATATGTAATTGAAAAGTAATTGAAATTATATTATTTTTCCAGTGTAATAAATTAAATAACAACGACATGTAATTCATAAATAGTCAATTACAATAATTGTAAAAATAGTCAATTACAAAATAATATCAATTACTTAAATATAAAAAAAATATTATCAATATTATATATATATATATATATATATATATATATATATATATATATATATATATATATATATATATATATATATATATATATATATATATATATATATCACAAGGTAATATTGCAAAAAAAATCATTTAGGCATTCACAGACGAAACCTGAATCTCCTGTTGAAAAAAGGCATAAATAAGTAATTATAGTCGTGATTTTCGGCATTTTTTTTTTTTTTTTACAGATTTTAATTTCAGAATATTATTGAATGATTATTAGATTATTTTTGCACAGCTTGATGGGTTTTTTGTATAAGGAGATGGTTGAACAAGGCGTGCAGAATGCCTATAGCTTCAGATATATGAAAATCATATTCAATTTGTGAATACGGTACTTAAAGTAAAGTTCTCATTATTGAAATTTATGAAATTATGATATACAAAACTTTTCCCAGGAAAATTTTCTCGGCAAAAGTTATTCTTTTATTAAAAAAATATTGTGAGATTTTTGAAAATTGTGGAGAATTTAAGCGAAGTACACTTTAATTTTAGATGAAATAATAATTGAAATTTAATTTTCACCTTCATGTTTGTCGTACTCTAGGCACTTCGCTCCCTTGTTCCCCCATATTCATCAGCAGTGCTTGAAATCATTATTCCTTGGTGCATTTTTAAAATTCAATTTAGTAGAGAGTTAAAATCAAAGTGTTAGACTTACCCTACAAGACTTGGACAGTTGTCTACGATATTGTCAAACTCGGGAAAAGATAATCTTCCGTCATCATCAACATCTGCCTCGCTGTATATCTGTGAGACAGTTAAAATTACCATACAATCCGCAAAATCACAAAGGACGAAATCCAACCACCTCGTATGCACACCATTAAGTATATATTTATTAGACAGGGTGATCTCTGTTTATCTACAGTATTTATTGTGCATATTGTAATATTTCTAAATGTATTGTGTAAAAGCAAGATAAAGCAATACATCATTTATTTTCATATTTTCATTGATGCGTAGATACTATTTATTATCTTCTAGCAGACGTGCGAGCAGCTTTAGATCTGGAATGGTACAGTAAATTTTGTTTTACTAACATATATGAGCTGATAAGCTGATCTAGGTCTGAGACTGAAGATCGAGGCCTTTTTTAACTATCTCATTGAGATGGTCTAGGCCTGAGATGGTAGATATACTTGCCTTATCATATCCTCTATAAGCTGACATAGACATTGGATGGTAAATACTTGTATATTCACTTTTTATGTGAGCTGGTTTTTGTTGTTGAAGATCTTATCATCCACTCACGTTCTCTATAAGCTGATCTATATCGGATTCCTCCAGTTTCTCATCCCCTGTCATTCTGTTGATGATTGTTCTCATGTCCTCCCAGCCCAAGTAACCGTCGTCGTCAAAATCTGAATACAACTTAGATTTTTCAATAATAAGTCTCATATTTCTTATAAAATGCTGTTTAGAACAAAATACGAAAATATCATATATTTTCTTATACGTAAACTAGGCAGTCCTTTGCAAGTTTGATAAAAAATTTTTATCCCCCCCCCCCAAAAAAAAATCAAAGCGTATTTTAAGTAAAATTTAACGGGAAAATGGTAATGTATTCCAAAGAGAATCCTATATATCATGTGAACACCTGAGTTGCTCTGTGAAACGTCTTAGTGTGGTATCCTCATATAGTCTCAAAGACAGGACTTTGATGCACATGTACTGTGATAGTACATCATTTAATATGATATCAATATCGTCTCAAAAAGGACTAATTTTCTAATTGTGTGTGTAAGTAATCATTGATTTGAGAATAAGAAGAGTTTATCTTGGACTATAGCAACATGATGAAAATGTTATGTTTGCTAGCACGGACGAGAGGAAAGTAGGTTGTTTTCGCCTTTTTCTCCCTCATAGCTCATAACACAAATCTTATATCGTGGCCGATATGGGTTTCTTCTATCTTTTTACTAAAACTAAATTTTATTGAACGATTTTTTTATATAAATCAAGGAAAGCATTCCAAATGCGTTCACTTTACCGTATATCCTGAACAGATATTCCGCTTTGATTTGAATTGGAGATTTTTCACTAAAAACGGACATCATATCCAGAAAGTCCTCGAAAGTCATGTATCCGTCTCTACTGGACGAGAACACGGTCACTATCCGATCTTTGAAAGGGTTAACCTAAAGAATAGACACAGAACACATACACACAAAATACACTCAAAAAGTTTAAAGAAACTGTGTTTGCCATTTAGATTAATTCATTTAGTGAATTTTACAATTGAGTTAGATCAAATCTTGAACATCTGTGAAGGAAAATTCATGTTTGTATTTAACATATAGCTTAAAATATTCTTTCTGTGGTTAATATAAAAAAACGGAAGTTATTTATATTTTTCGAATTTCAGAACTTTTCCTAATGAGGTAATAACGACCTATAAATGGATTCTATGGTAACGAAAGTTACTTTGGAAAGAAAAATTCTATCACCCATGATTTATTAGAAAAGACTAGACTTTGACCCGTGCGTGCACGGGTTGACATTGTTATGAATGCATCCATGTGCATATCGGACATTTACAAAATAGATACATCGACACATTCATATTGTAAGGTATTTTTTAAATAAACAATGAATGTGAATATAATTCTGTTTTGTTTTTTTGGTGTTTGTTTTGTTTTGTTTTTTTTTAATTGTTGCGTAACGGCGTAGCGCAGAATGGGTTTGACCAACAGTTAGCTATAAATCAAGTCTTGAGTTCGAATCACGCCGGAGCTTACAAAAATTTCACCCTTCCAAACAAATTTAATAAAAGAAATTATGGATGTTCATTGAAAATATGACAACAGCAAAGAGTTGAGCACACTGCTGATACATATCCAGCAAAGTAATGAAATGAAGAAATGTGTTAAGCTGGTATTTTTACACAATCAGTTATTAAAGTAAAGGTGTAAAAGTTTTTGTAACAATTTTAACACTGCAGGTCTCAACTTGTTCAAAATATGACCTCAACAGTAAAAGAGTTAAGCACGGCTAATACATATACTTTATATATACACAGGTAATAGACAGGTATATAATCTGTAAAAGACTGTCTGTTTTGATAAAAATTAATGTAATATCCTTGAATTAGTACATAGAAAAAGTAATAAAAATAGAAGCTTAATTGAGAAAAAATAAAAACAAATTGGTAATCTTCAAGTACCAATGATGTTTAAAATATATAAAACAAAAGACAGTATTCTTCCGATTTATCGGTATTAAAGGCCAAAAATTCGAGTCTATAATTTTTATATAGTAGTTATTATTGTAATTTTTAGCGGAAAAAGAATGCCTACTTCACTAAGATGTGATTCTAACTGGAGTTGTAACACCCCCCCCTTTCAGTTCCCCTCAAAAAAGCATAAAAGAAAGGAGGGATAAAATAAATCGGGTAGTTACATTAATGTTGCTCCTACGATCATGAGCTTTTTGCCTCCGTTGAGATGGCCAGAGATATAAATAACATATAATAAATGTGTCTCCGAGATGGCGAATAATTACCCACGTGGCCACAATATCACATTTGTATGGATATAAACTCAGAAACAAACATAGGCGTCAGAAGCAAATTGAAAGTGGGGTGGCTATTTGAAAGTTGGGGGGGGGGGGCTAAACCAACGAAAAAAGGTAAGCCCCAATTTTCAATGCCTATATTATGTCTATCTTTGCAAAAAGGGGGGACTAAGCCCCCCTTGCCCCCCCCCCCGGTTCCGACCCCTATGACAAATACGTGTAAATCTTCATTGGAAATTTGCTAATATTCTGTTCATATATATTACTGATTTCTTATTAGAGAAATTATACAATAACAAATATATATCTACTTAGTATTTACTTTTGTCTTCTCTGATTTGAACACACTCTCCACCAACGGCTCATACATTCGTGTATGAGAGAGAAACGAACGACAACTCTGCAAGGGAATTTGAACATCGTGATTTAGCGTGAATGTAATGCGCACGCGCAAGATTGTAAAATCCAAAAAATCCAGATGATTTCCGGAATTTTTTGAGGAATTTTCGTTGATTATTAATTAGCGAAGCTTAATTGAGAAAAAATAAAAAACAAATTGGTAATCTTCAAGTACCAATGATGTTTAAAATATATCAAACAAAAGACAGTACTCTTCCGATTTATCGGTATTAAAGGCCAAAAATTCGAGTCTATTATTTTAATATAGTAGTATAGATATTTGAAATATATTTTATTCGAACAAGAAATCAAAAATACTAAATCCTCTACTAGTGTGGCATTACAATGATGATTTTTGTTCACCTGAACTAAAGTTTCATGTAAGTTTTTCTGATCATATGTCGCCCGTCGTCTGTCTCCCTGTCCATCTCACTTTTCATAATTTTGACTCTTCTCAAGAACACTGGATTAATTTTAACTAAACTTACCTTAAAGTATCCTTGAATAAGAAGATTTAGATTTGTTCAAATGAAGAAGCACGCCCTCTTTAAAGGGAAGATAATTTAGAAAAGGTAAAAATAAGGTGCTGTATTTGAAAAAAAAACACTGGCCAGAAAAGACGAAACTTATTATGATGGCTTCCTGATATAGTGTAGAATCAAGTTTGTTTAAAACATTGCCCCTGGTATTATAGTTGGGCCACAGGGGGTGGGGTGGGGGAGGGGGATCAAGAGAATAAACGAATCTTGAACATATCAAAACAGTAGTGCTACGGTTAGTTATATCAATATGCAAGCATCCTAAGATTAGAATTAAGTTGCTTAAATTCCCCCATTCTACTCCATGCTGGATTTAGGAGAGAGTTATAATAGGATATCAAAGTTTTAAAGTGGAAAAAATAGGGGAAAATATTTTTCTAAATCCTCTCGAAGTCAACAGGGCCATTAATCATCTAAATAAGCAGATGTTTTCAAGTATTGTGGTAGGGTGGGGCCACAAAAGGGCCATTTCAAGTTTTTTTCTAGGTTTAGCTTCCGTGGAGGGATTCGTTTTGAGGTAATGAAAATTAATACACATGCACACACATTAAAAAAATCCACAAATATTTGTATTTGCAACGCATTTAACTCTTTTAGGATCGGCATCTCATTTTTTATACTCTTTTTAAGTTTTGTACCAAATGTTTGGATTGTTATATACTACATGTAATAGGTTTTTTTTTAATTATTATTATTGTTACAAATAGTGAAGAAAATTCTCAAATGATGATGAGAAATTTTATAAGTTTCCTGTTTCTTTGGTTTGTGTTTTTCCCGGATAGAAGATAGGTTTTTGATTTTAGGGTGGCCGCTAAACATAAAAACTGTTTTACCAGGGAAATATAAAGAAAATCTTCAAGATCAAATTGGCCATGAATATTTAATAGTTCTATTTATTTGCAAACATCTTCAGGTAGTGCAGGATTAAATTGGCTCAAATCATCCAGCCGCCTGGTAGGATTAGACCACATTAGGGTATCGGTTTTACATGGGGAATACATTAGACAACACTCTTTTTAAAATATCACAAATAACAACCTCAAAGTAATTAAGCATGATATGAACAGATCTACATGTAAGTTTTCACAGAACCCTTTTAATGAATTAAGCTCCTATCTAGCTAGAGTGCTTTTCAATTTTTTTTTTAATTTATAAGTTCTCGGTATGTTTTGAGTAAGGTCCGATCTTCTTTATTTGACCCAAATGGTTTTATTTGAGTTTGCATGAAGACTGTTATAAGACAACAAAAGTGTAGAAACAATATTTCATCTTAAATCTTTTGAATTATGACATGCTGCTAAATAAAACACACATGGGAATCGAAATACTAAACAAGCACATATTGTACTTACATATTTCAGTATCTCCTGATGAACAACAGAGGGTTTCTCAGACTTACTGTTTTTTCCATTTACTACACTAAGGCGACCGGGAAACAATCCCATATTGAAACTCAATCAAAAAACATTTAATGTGGAATTTACAATGGAATAGGAATTTTCTGTTAAAAACATGCCAATGGCAAAAGAAAAAGGAGGGCACTTTAGCAATTCCAAAATCGTTCTGTAAAACCTTATCTGATAGCAGACCTAGTGAGATTGATTTGAACATATTTCATTGTATAATATATACAAAAGGATTGGATACAAGTTCTTTCAACTTAATAGATCCTCTCCTTATTATACAAACAATGAATACAATATATGATTGTCATAATAAATAAATTGAGATAATTTACGAAAATTTATGTTGTACATGTAATATATATGAAAATTATAAAGACACATACTCAGAGTAATCTACCAGCGCTCTAATGTTACATGTACACTGATTACAATGTTTATTGAACAAGAAGCTTGTATGTTTATTAAAAAATTTAAAAATTGCATTCTATATATACATACTGAAATCAAAGACACTGTTTTGAATTAGAATCTATCTGATTCTCGAATAAATGTCTGGACACTACAGAAAATTTGAATATTTGCATCGGTAGACAAAGATTCGTTTTCACATAATAAAAAATGAGTGTCTATTATATTTCGCTGGTTTACTTGAAGAATAGTGTTTATTAAGTCATTTCTTGGACGTTCATATTTCTTGCATGCAAAGTAAAAAATGGTAAAGGGAAATTATATTTCTCCGATATAGGTCGCTATTTAGGATACAATTATGTTTTAGTGACATTAAAATTATTATTCGTGCAAAAAGGGGAGCAACTAAATATAAGAAAATAAAATACCAATCAAGAATGTGAAAATAATAATAAAATTGCAAGATTCATTTGTTTGAAATTGTGCATTTAATTAGTTTATGTTAGATTTTACGCTTTCTTTCTTTGTTCGGATCCACCCTCAGTTCCCATAGTTTGTATAGGTCCTCTCGGGGGATTTTACTCTTCATTGTTTGTTAGGACCTACCCTCAGTTCCTATAGTTTGTATAGGTCCTCTCGGGGGATTTAACTCTTTCTTTCTTTATTAGGACCTACCTTCATTTCCTTTAGTTTGTTTAGATCCTCTCGGGGGATTTTACTCTTCTTTGCTTGTTTGGACCTACCCTCAGTTCCTATAGTTTGTATAGGTCCTCACGGGGGATTTAACTCTTTCTTTGTTTGTTAGGACCTACCCTCAGTTCCTTTAGTTTGTTTAGGTCCTCCCGGGGGACATTACTGTATCTTTATTTGTTAGGACCTACCCTCAGTTCCTTTAGTTTGTATAGGTCCTCCCGGGGGACATTACTGTATCTTTGTTTGTTAGGACCTACCCTCAGTTCCTTTAGTTTGTATAGGTCCTCCCGGGGGACATTACTGTACCTTTATTTGTTAGGACCTACCCTCAGTTCCTTTAGTTTGTATAGGTCCTCCCGGGGGACATTACTGTATCTTTATTTGTTAGGACCTACCCTCAGTTCCTTTAGTTTGTATAGGTCCTCCCGGGGGATTTTACTGTATCTTTATTTGTTAGAACCTACCCTCAGTTCCTTTAGTTTGTATAGGTCTTCTCGGGGGACGTTACTGTATCTTTATTTGTTAGGACCTACCCTCAGTTCCTTTAGTTTGTTTAGGTCCTCCCGGGGGACATTACTGTATCTTTATTTGTTAGGACCTACCCTCAGTTCCTTTAGTTTGTATAGGTCCTCCCGGGGGACATTACTGTATCTTTATTTGTTAGGACCTACCCTCAGTTCCTTTAGTTTGTATAGGTCCTCCCGGGGGACATAACTGTATCTTTATTTGTTAGGACCTACCCTCAGTTCCTTTAGTTTGTATAGGTCTTCTCGGGGGATTTTACTGTATCTTTATTTGTTAGGACCTACCCTCAGTTCCTTTAGTTTGTATAGGTCTTCTCGGGGGACATTACTGTATCTTTATTTGTTAGGACCTACCCTCAGTTCCTTTAGTTTGTATAGGTCTTCTCGGGGGACATTACTGTATCTTTATTTGTTAGGATCTACCCTCAGTTCCTTTAGTTTGTTTAGGTCCTCCCGGGGGACATTACTGTATCTTTATTTGTTAGGATCTACCCTCAGTTCCTTTAGTTTGTATAGGTCCTCCCGGGGGACATTACTGTATCTTTATTTGTTAGGATCTACCCTCAGTTCCTTTAGTTTGTTTAGGTCCTCCCGGGGGACATTACTGTATCTTTATTTGTTAGGACCTACCCTCAGTTCCTTTAGTTTGTATAGGTCCTCCCGGGGGACATTACTGTATCTTTATTTGTTAGGACCTACCCTCAGTTCCTTTAGTTTGTATAGGTCCTCCCGGGGGACATTACTGTATCTTTATTTGTTAGGACCTACCCTCAGTTCCTTTAGTTTGTATAGGTCCTCCCGGGGGACATTACTGTATCTTTATTTGTTAGGACCTACCCTCAGTTCCTTTAGTTTGTATAGGTCCTCCCGGGGGACATAACTGTATCTTTATTTGTTAGGACCTACCCTCAGTTCCTTTAGTTTGTATAGGTCCTCCCGGGGGACATTACTGTATCTTTATTTGTTAGGACCTACCCTCAGTTCCTTTAGTTTGTATAGGTCTTCTCGGGGGATTTTACTCTCCTTTGTTGCAGGGTTTTTCTTCGTACCAAACACTTGGAACCTCTCGTACACACTGTTTAAAATGTAGTTTTTGTCATATCAATCTTAGCATTTTTAAAAATATTATGTAATTTTTAAATGAAAAAAATATATGCACAAAATTAGTCATTTTTTAAATTGTTTATTAGTATTGTTTCTGTTTAATATAAAAAAAAGTATTTTGCGAAATACTTGTAGTTTATGTTATGTGATCTGAATGATTTAAGTTTAAATTTAGAAATCATGAAAAAGCCTATACCAATAGGTATCAATCCATATGTTAAAAGTTTAAATCTTAATCAAACATATGTGTAGTTAATAGTTACAAACATTTTATATGAATATTCTTTAAATGTAAGACAACGATAATTCTGCTGTAACTGAAATCTTCCACATTATACGACAGAACATTTACATATGCTCTTATATATAGTAATTTACTCTACTCTAGATTTGTAATCAGTGAAACAATTAATTTATTTGTTGACCATGACACACATAATATATTTTATAAGATTTATGCTAGAAAATCTAAATAAAGTAAAGGTAAAAGCAAAGATAAAAATAAAAAGCGCCAAAAAATATTGCTAAATTAAGTACAGTGACAGTTCTTCATTCTGTTTTTGTGAGAGTACATAAGATCTGCATATTCATTACGATTATAATTAATTTTAAACCATCATTATTTTACTTACTGCTGAATTTCGTTTTTGGTAAAAACTGTTAGGTCCTTCAAATGGAAATCGAGATTTCTTTAAAAACACCTTTATATATTATTCTAAATAAATGTAATCATTATCTTGCTGTTTACTTAAAATATTTCAACCATTATTTCCTTCACCATAGGTTGTAAGATAAAGATTAAGAATGAAATTTGAAATACAAAAACAACCATAAAGATTCCAAATAAAATGTTTAGATTTTTGAACTATAGAAAATCAGAAATAAACTTCCCAAGCAAACTTTTTTCTGCTCTGCTCAAAAAAATGTAAGACACATTCTCAATTCTTCTTTTAAAAAATCTAGGAAAACCTCATTAAATTTAATACAATATAAGATTTAATATTTCCTTAAAAATGATCGATATCAGATAAGATATATTTCTCATCAGCCTCGCTCACCCTGTAGTCCTGAAGTTCTTCCTCTGTAAACACACTGACACTCTTTGTGGTCCCCATTATTAAATTTCACCGTAACACAGGGAGGGTTTCAGATCAATAGTTTAGGGATTCTATCGTTCTTTACTTTAACATGTAGGTAGTATAAATTCTGTCGCTAACTACAGAGAGATCGAGACAGGATTCACGCGCTTTGTTTTCATCCTGATTGGAGTACGCTTGTAGAAACTATCCACATGTAAATATTTACATCCTATAACAAAGTTATTATAGTTGTATAGACATACTATAAGCTATGTGATAAACATTTTACTGTACACAACAAATTATTGAGGTTAAATCTACTTGACGTTATTAGCTCATTTTTGCAAGATAATGAAACTATTAGAATTTTCAGTATGTGACTTACTTGGTTCTGATTTATTTTGTATTCACATTCACTCTTACAAATTTGAAAAGTTCATAAGGATATCAATTCAGGCATCTACACAATCGAAATTCCAATCATCTTGTACATTTCAGAGGTGAAAGACACTACTTGTACATATTCATGTATTTATTTGTAAGAATACATGTATCTACATTTTGAAGTAACTCTCAACTCTTTCATCAAGATACAGAGAAATTCAAATTATTTGGAGTGATTTTTTTACCATTCCAATTAACCTGGTATGTTTAAACAATAAAATGCTTTCTTTGGTTGTCAGTTTGGAAATTAATGTTGTAGCTCTTGCAGAAAAAATGCATAACCCGCGTAATGTAATATTTTTCTGCAATAGCTGCAACGTGAATATCCGTACTAACAAAGAAAGAAAGCCATTTTATTGTTTATGTTTATATCTGTGCACATTATTCATTTAATGTAGGATCTAGTAGATGGAATTTTGTATTATTCATTGTACGTCATTGTACGTTCCATTGATGGAACAGCCATTGCTCCAGAAATCTGTAGAGGCGATATGCTTAGCGGTGTTTACAGACTGATAAACGGTAATGGTTTTCTTAAGAAATAAAAGACATGATATTCAGTAGATGTAAATATTTGTACGTAACCAGATCCACTGGGTCTACTGTTCATATGTGACGCTGAAGGAAGGTTGTGTTCCTTCATCCCGGAAGATTATAACGCTCCTCTTTCTTTGTTTTTACCAAAGATTTATATCCAGAACTGTGCTTACATATTTCTAGATTTTACAATGCATTAATTAATCAATCAATCATTTTACATATATTTCAGATAAGTACAATATATAGATTATATCGCAAACTTGTAGTACATAAGGTATGAATGAGACTGGTAATTGATATTGAACCCAGTAAAGTGAGTATTCAAGTCAAGTAACCCAAACTTGATTCTACTTTTAAAATTACTGCTAGGTTATCAAATTGGTAAAATTGTAAATGGTGAATACCCTGCTGGTACGGATCCCCAGTCAACTTCTGTTCTCCCCTTTGTCCTTGAACTTGCAAGAACACTCAAGCAAAATAGTAAATATTAGATATACATGTATTTACGACGTTTTATCAATTAACAATATTTACTTACATTCATATCGACTCGATATATCCCAGAGAATAAGAAAAAAAAATCACTACAGTGCAGGGAACTAATTTTGTTACATTAACCAGCATCAGCATAAGCATTAGTAGCATCAGGATCGAGCTAGCATCAGCATCAGCATTTAAAAAACAGCATTACCAGGATCAGCATCAGCAAGCAAAGGATAAAACTAGCATTGACCTACATAAAATCAGCATTATCCTACTAGCATCAGAAAATCAATGAGTTTTAATTCAGTAAAAAATTAAAAAACAAGGGAAAAAACATTGGTTAAAGTATTCACATTATTGATACATAGTGAGATATTATGATCAAATAATTGTAAAGGAACTTTTATTGCTTTAAACGGCAATGCTGAAATTCATTATCTACTTCCGGTAGCATGATGCTACTTCCGGTAGCATTGACCTAATTATAAAACAGCATCAGGATAAGGATTACTAGCATTAAATCAGCAAGCAAAGGAAGCATTCAAATCAGCAAGCAAAGGAAGCATTCAAATCAGCATAGATGCTGTAACAAAATTAGTTTCCTGCACTGTACACACAAAGTCTGCCAAATTAGTTTCATATTTGGACTTCAGCTTTCCCGACGTCACCTTGCCTTATTTATGTAATAATATTCAACATCACCTGCATATGGTGTTTATGTCTCCCAAAATATTCGATACGCAAGAGAATATTCTGAAAACGATCAATTTTTAAACCCAAGGCAAGCAACTAACAAATAAGTTGATGTTACAAGGTTTTCAACTTTCGTTTTAAAGTCAGTTTCTACGGTCAGTATAATTAACTTGTTTGTAAATACAAACCTATCACTGGGTCGTAGTTTGTCTGACATGTTTTATACCACGTATTAGGTCATTGCTTTTATGCTAAATTTGATAACGGATTACTCCGTATACCTGATCAACACATAGGGCTCACGTCGGGTGTGACCGGTCAACAGGGGGTGCTTTCTCCCCCTAGACACCTGATACAACGTCTGGTGTTTCTGGGAGTCTGTGTTTTGTCCTGTTCACGATTTGTATACTAGATTTATGATATAGATCAGTGTTCGTTATCTTCATCTTTTACATATACATGGAATCTGAGATAATTAGATGCATTCTCATTTGAATATACAGGTCCTTTGACCTGTTTAAGTTCCTGTAATATACAGAGAGAGAGAGAGAAAAAAAAGGTGCATCTTTAAGAATTAGTGGGACAATGAATGAATTTATAATTTATTATTATAATTATTTGCATATCAGTTTACCTTGAAACATATTAAGTAGGTTTCAAAAGCTAATCGGAATTCAGTTACGTAATCAAGATTGAATTTCTCTTCAATAATGTTGATACAATCATTGCTTTGTACACCTGAATTTTGTTTGACTTTAAACCTGTCGCCAACATTTTGAGTTATTGCTTCTGTAAATCAAAACAATGAGTGATCTGTAGAAAGATTTTATCAAATCAGGAAGAGACCGCTTAATAGAAACAGTGGTTTATTACATAATTATAAATAATTAAGTTCCCAATCCATTACATGGCGTCAAGCCTGGCTTTGTCCAGATTCAGGACGGGATCATGTGAGCAGTTATAATTAGCTTCTTATTTATTGCTGATTGATGTGAGACCTTCCTTAATCACTTTGACTTCTGTGCTTAATTTATTACACTTCTTTGCAATGTTTTAATCAGAGGTATTTTACACTTGATAAATTGATAAATAAACCTTATACACACACACACGCATTTATATACATATACATATATACATACACACACATATATATAAATATATATATATATATATATATATATATATATATATATATATATATATATATATATATATATATATATATATATATATATATATATATATATATATATATATATATATATATATTTATCCCATGTTTACCCCTTTATCCCGTGGATATGACTCATTTTTTTCATAACCCACAGTTAAGTGCAGTTGTGACGTCACAATGGTTTTTGCGTTAGAGTGATGAAGTAAAATAAAGTGGAGTCCTATATAAAATAGTGTAAAACATTGGTTGTGAAGTATTAAACATGGGATGAAAAGAATCTCTCATGATTTGTAGTTGGATATGACTTTTATCCAACTTGTTGTGTGTTTTTATCCTCTCGCCAAGGCTCGGGATTAAAAAACACACAACTCGTTGGATAAAAATCATATCCAACTACAAATCATGGGAGATCCTATATTTATCCCATGTTTACCCCTTTATCCCGTGGATATGACTCATTGGATAATTTTTTCATATTCCACAGTTAATTAAGTGCAGTTGTGACGTCACAATGGTTTTTGCGTCTGAGTGATGAAGTAAAATAAAGTGGAGTCCTATATAAAACAGCGTAAAACATTGGTTGTGAAGTATTAAACATTGGATAAAAAGAATCTCCCATGATTTGTAGTTGGATATGACTTTTATCCAACTCGTTGTGTGTTTTTATCCCCTCGCCAAGGCTCGGGGATAAAAAAAACACACAACTCGTTGGATAAAAATCATATCCAACTACAAATCATGGGAGATCCTATATATATATATATGTATATATATATATATATATATATATATGTATATATATATATATATATATATATATATATATATATATATATATATATATATATATATATATATATATATATATATATATATATATATATATATGGGACTTCAATGATGGAAAATCCATATTTAACTGAAGTGGGAATATCATTTTTATAATAAATAATGAAATTTACCATGTCTTCTGTAATCACATTAATCATAATCTACTGTCATAATAAAATACATCTTTATCTAATATTAAATGTCAGTCCAGGTTCAAAGGAAAACAGCACGTCAATTTACCAACTTCAAAGCAGATGGAAAAATACATAAGGATATAAAGAAAAATTGGCTGCCTGGATTAATATATATTTCTGGACTTATTTTGGCTGTAAATGATACGAATAATAAATCTCAAAAATATTAAGAAATTGTAAACCTACTATGATTTTTAAAGATCTGCCTCTCTGTAACCATCCTTATTAATCTATACAAGTTTTTGTCACTTTTAATCGCAGTATTTTAAAACTTTGAATGAAAATTAAATTTAAATCTATGCAGTTAAACTTATTTATGACTTTACATGCTATTTTCAGGATTTTTGATAAAAGATTGTGTAATCTGCCCTAAATAAAAGAAATATATTTATTGTGATTTGGACAGAGAGAGAATTCCCCGATTTATTTTGATTTGAGCAAAGATACCGCTTTCTTGAAATCTTTACTTACTAAATATACAAAATTGTTTTAGTTTTAAATAACAGTAAAACATATTCGTGACACAATAATATTTAAGAATTGAAGAATTATATATATATATATATATATATATATATATATATATATATATATATATATATATATATATATATATCTATATATATATATATATATATATATATATATATATATATATATATATATATATATAT